AAACCTGGAACATTCAGATTATGAAGAGTTATAACAAATATGGTGTAGAGTGGCACCAATGGTAACAAAGGTGTGCTCCCTCCTGAAATTGTTTTTCTAGAAAAAAACCTGGACTCGATGTATTGTATGAAACTTGTGTACATGATCATGGCAGATAACCACTGTCAAATTGTTGTGAATTTTGTCAGGAAGTCTCAGGAACTTTCATCAAATTTAGACCTTGATGTAAGCCATATTGGAATAGTTACATGTAGCACATAATCATTTCATATTTAGAAATAAGAAATTATACTAGTAATTAAAAAGACGAAAATGTTGTATTAAATTGTTTTCTAAAAAACATTTTGTGTCAGAACAAATTTAGAAAGTTGGAGTAGAAACATGCCATGACACAGTTTACTTTGAAAACACTATCACTAAGGCTGTGGATTGCTTGGCTATGTTGCTACACAATGCAATAAATTGTCACAAAAAAGAACAATACTACTTTCTTTTCTCATGTAGTTCAGCTTTGAGCAAACACACATAGAAAGGTCATGAAGCAGACCTCTTTGTATTCATTTTTAGTGAATGGTTGTGCCTTCCGATTAAGAACTGTTGCTTTCCCAGTGTACAACACATATGTTAAATTTCAACTTTGACAAGTAACACACTAATAAGGTAGAACCCTGTTAACTTGGACACCTGGCTAAAGCAAAAACCTTCCTAAAGTGAACAATGAAAAAAAATGAAACCTGGCAAAACCAAAAACCTGCCCAAAGAGGACACTGGCAATTTTAACTAAAAACCTGCCTAAACTAAACATGTCTAAAGTACTCACTAGATTCAAATTGAGACATGTCAACACTGAACATCAGCTAAACCAAATTCTTTGTGTCTCTACCAAAGTGGTGATGATGGATGACTATAAACAAATATAAATGATGAGGTGAGAGTTCATCTACTGAGTATATCGTCAACTGTGAGAACAGATAAATGTACAGTCAGTGATCAAAATGTATTCTGGCACTGATTAAACAACCAACATTCTCAAAGATGGAGCTATGTCATGATCCTCAAGACATTTCCTAGACCAATCACAATCAAGAACAGACAAAGGTTTTTTGAATTAACACCTTTAGTTTTCTCTATTGGGCGTAATTTATGCCTCAGCATTGCTTAGCTAACAGCAAATCTGGAACAATTTGTTCAGAGCATAGCTTGCTTGGTTTCCCGTAGCTATGGTAAATAACGGTAC